ATATATATATATATATATATCAAGAACATAATGACATAAATGTATAATTGTTATTTAAATGACCGCCTTAATTTTCAGCTAATTCAGAAAAACTGTATTGAAATTCGCATCGTTAATTTTTCAATAACTATAGTCGATAACTATTTCTATAGGTTCTAGGAATTGACCGATTGATTGCCTAATGATGACGATCACCATTTACAAGTACATTTAATCTGTAATTACCACACTGAAGCATACTCATTACTATATATGATAATATCATGCTTTATTAAATAAGCTTTGCCTCTAAAAATAGATAGAACTTGGATGTGTATATCTATATTACTGGATATGTATTTTAGAATAAGTTATCGTTTCTTGTGTATTATGTTCCATATAGGCATCAACTCTAATCTTTACAATTAATCTTTGCAATTAAGCTATATATTAATGTCTCGGTTATTCTTAAAAGGTAATAAATATTGGTCAAGCAATTCTCTTTGAGAATTTCATATCAAGTCGTTGATGATATTTTATTCTTTTTCTCTCGACTCTCAAGTAAGTCTTAGAAGCAAGCTATTCAAAAGAAAAAAGTGATGCTTTTAAGAAAATTATTCCATGCCTTGAAGATATTCTCACACTATCGACGGCAGCATTGTTTCCAACGGTTCCTGGCATTAAGAGGAAAAAGAACTTGTGAACTTTGTCTTCAAGACTTTCAATGAAAAATGTATTTTTCCGTTTTTATGCTATATATATTTTAAACATTCACAATTGTAAACTATAGTTATCGTTTGATTAAAATATTGATCCTTTTATTATTTGAATACAGTAAATAATTTATGAGAGAGAGAGAGAGAGAGAGAGAGAGAGAGAGAGAGAGAGAGATAAATATATGTAGAAAAATAACACGCACGCACGCACGCACGCACGCACGCACGCACGCACGCACGCACGCACGCACGCACACACACACACACACACACACACACACACATACAGAAATAAAACTCTTAACTGCCATAGTATATCATTCAAAAATCTATTACTTTTGTTAGGGTCAATAGTCTATCCATTAAAGAGACATCACTTAATAAATATTTATTCATTTTTTATTCCTATCATATATTTTATTAATTATTCATTAAAATATTATATATTGATCTTCCGATTTTATTATTAAAAAAGTCGCGATAGTATATTATTTTAATTCACAATAATATATCGATATGCATTATCAGTCAGTATGCATATCAATTTTATCCGTCAATAAGTGCTGTATTAATTAATGGGAACTAATAATTTTGAAAGAGAATATAAAGAAAATAATAAATTGTATTTTAAAATAAAATATCATTTTTGCGATTAAAAATATAATGTAAAAGTATTATTAATACATTTTTGTTAGAATATATTATGATAATTCATAAAATGAGATTCAAATTTATATACTTAATGTCGTAACGTTTATTTTTAAATTATTTTCCTAAAAATATCCTACATGTACGTACACGACTCTATTCTGAATAAAATTCAGAATCACAACTTATTCTGAATAAAATTAGTTCTAGAACAGGTTTCGCTCTATCAAGTTCTTGTGACGTTGACGCGTAACTTTCAGGATATTCTAGCAAAGCTATTGAAAGATTGAAATAATACTTTTTGAAACACTTTTTTAAAAAAAGCTCACCCTTTAATTTGTGTATCGTGTATTATGAGACACGATGAAGCTTTATGGAATTTCTTTGTGATCCATCTAGTAGTTATCTTGTCGGTTGATAAAAAATACTGCGCCTTCCCTTTTTGAAGTGAGCTTAGCTGCAGATCGTTCGACTGATGACTCAGAACATTAAAAAGTCCTTCAGATAAGTTATCATAAGACGATTTTTCTTGCTCTATCTCTCGTTCCAGTTTTAAGAATCGAGATTAGAATGGATTATATTGATTGTATTCGCTTTGCGCATAATCTAGTACGACATTGCAAGCATTAAGTGCCGAGAAATGATAACACAATTAACGCTTTGAAGTAATTAACTTATTGTTAATATAATTAACATTAATGTTCGCAAAATGATTCCGACAATATCTCAATCTGAATACCTTGTCAGAAAATTTATTTTATGATTATTTAATTGTCCTACGCGATAATTCTGTATCATTATTAATTCATACGCAAATACTAATCCGATTGTCGCTTAATTGCTATTGAATTTATTTCCAATAATATTCATGGCAAATATATTATCCAATAGGATATCTTTAAGAAATAAAAAATTAGAATGATACAAGTCTCTCTCTCTTTTTTCGTTAAACCCAAAGCGAAATCTTCTCTACATTAAGGGATAATATATTATTATAAAAATTTGCATCAACTTTCCAACGGCATTACTACTAATTTAATATGTTATTATTACAAATTTGATGATGATCAGATTGAAGAAATAAGCTTTTTTTCGTTTCATAATAAACATCTTCTGCTCTTCCCTTTGCTTTATGATTTTTTTCTCCATAATGCACGTTTTAAGTTCTCTCTCCAAGACGGAAGATTGAACGACTCTTCCTCGGTATCGATCCACACCACCTTCGCTTCGGACCGCATTGTCATATACCGGGTGTGCACGAGGGAGCGGCCGTATCTAAGAGCTTACGTCGTTCCCGCTGGCTGTAGATATCGCGATATGGGAAAATTGAAATTTTACGACGACACCGCGAACGATTGTATGTGCCCTCTACTGGGAACGTATGTT